ATTGAAAATGGTGAAAGACCATATACATTACCATGAAAGTGATATGAGGAAATTACAGTTAATATAGCTATTATGTGATCCAAAATATTGTGACGGTTTATTTTCATAAATATTGAACCTATAGCCTACAGCCACAAACATGACATTATGGCTGATAGTTGTTGAAAGTAAGAGCATTACAAGCCAGAAACATGGAGATAAGATGGATATTGTGCACTTCTCGCCAGCCATTACTACACTGAACAGAAATATAAAAGCAACTGTAAAGTGTTGGTCCCATGTTTCATGAGCTGAAATAAAAGATCCCAGAAATGTTTCATACAAACAAAGAGTGTTTTTCTCTCAAATTTTGTACACAAATTTGTTTACATCCCTGTTAGTGAGCATTTCAACTTTGCCAAGATAATCCATCCACCTGACAGGTGTGGCATATCAAGAAGCTGATTAAACAGCATGATCATTACACAGGTGCACCTTGTGCTGAGGACAATAAAAGGCCACTCCAGCATGTGCAGTTTTGTCACAGAACACAATACCACAGATTTCTCAAGTTTTGAGGGAGCATGCAATTGGCATGCTGACTGCAGTAATGTCCAACAGAGCTGTTGCCAGAGAATTGAATGTTAATTTCTTTACCATAAACTGCCTCCAACGTCGTTTTAGAGAATTTGGCAGTACGTCCAACCGGCCTCACAACGCCAGCCCAGGACCTCCACATCCAGCTTCTTCACCTGCGGGATTGTCTGAGATCAGCCACCCAGACAGCTGATGAAACTGTGGGTTTGCACAACTGAAGAATCTCTGCACAAACTGTCAGAAACCGTCTCAGAGAAGCTCATCTGCGTGCTCGTCGTCCTCAGCAGGGTCTTGACCTGACTACAGTTTGGCCTCGTAACTGACTTCAGTGGGAAAATGCTCACCTCGATGGCCACTGTTACGCTGGAGAAGTGTGCCGTTCACAGATGAATCCCGGTTTCAACTGTACTGGGCAGATTGCAGATAGCGTGTAAGATATCATTTGGGCCAGTGGTTTGCTGATGTCAGCATTGTGAACAGAGTGCCCGTTGGTGGCGGTGGGGTTATGTTATGGGCAAACATAAACTATGGACAACGAACGAAGAAAAGGATGTACAATTGCATTTTATCGATGGAAATTTGAATGCACAGAGATACCGTGACGACATCCTGAGGCCCATTGTCGTGCCATTTATCCGCCGCCATCACCTCATGTTTCAGCATGATAACGCACGGCCCCATGTCGCAAGGATCTGTACACAATTCCTGGAAGCTGAAAATGTCCCAGTTCTTCCATGGCCTGCCTACTCACTAGACGTCACCCATTGAGCATGTTTGGGATGCTCTGGATCGACGTGTACGACAGTGTGTTCCAGTTCCCGCCAATATCCAGCAACTTCGCACAGCCATTGAAGAGGAGTGGGACAACATTCCACAGGCCACAATCAACAGCCTGTTAAACTCAATGCGAAGGATATGTGTCGCTCTGCATGAGGCAAATGGTGGTCACACCAGATACTGACTGGTTTTCTGATCCATGGCCCTACCTTTTTTTTTTAAGGTACACTTGAAGTCGGAAGTTTACATTCACTTAGGTTGGAGTCATTAAAACTTGTTTTTCAACCACTCCACAAATGTATTGTTAACGAACTATAGTTTTGGCAAGTCGGTTAGGACATCTACTTTGTGCATGACACAAGTAATTTTTCCAACAATTGTTTACAGACAGATTATTTCACTTATAATTCACTGTATCACAATTCCAACGGGTCAGAAGTTTACATACACTAAGTTGACTGTGCCTTTAAACAGCTTGGAAAATTCCAGAAAATGATGTCAAGCCTTTAGAAGCTTCTGATAGGCTAACTGACATCATTTGAGTCAATTGGAGGTGTACCTGTGGATGTATTTCAAGGCCTACCTTCAAACTCAGTGTCTCTTTGCTTGACATCATGGGAAAATAAAATAAAATCAGCCAAGACCTCAGAAAATAAATTGTAGACCTCTACTTTTTTGAGAAATGTCCTCTGGTCTGATGAAACAAAATAGAACTGTTTGGCCATAATTACCATTGTTATGTTTGGAGGAAAATAGGGGATGCTTGCAAGCCGAAGAACACCATCCCAACTGTGAAGCACGGGGGTGGCAGCATCATGCTGTGGGGGTGCTTTGCTGCAGGAGGGACTGGTGCACTTCACAAAATAGATGGCATCATGAGGAAGGAAAATTATGTGGATATATTGAAGCAACATCTCAAGACATCAGTCAGGAAGTTAAAGCTTGGTCGCAAATGGGTCTTCCAAATGGACAATGACCCAAGCACACTTCCAAAGTTGTGGCAAAATGGCTTAAGGACAACAAAGTCAAGGTATTGGAGTAGCCATCACAAAGCCCTGACCTCAATCCTATAGAAAATGTATGGGCAGAACTGAAAAAGTGTGTGCGAGCAAGGAGGCCTACAAACCTGACTCAGTTACACCAGCTCTGTCAGGAGGAATGGGCCAAAATTCACCCAACTTATTGTGGGAAGCTTGTGGAAGGCTACCCGAAACGTTTGACCCAAGTTAAACAATTTAAAGACAATGCTACCAAATACTAATTGAGTGTATGTAAACTTCTGACCCACTGGGAATGTGATGAAAGAAATAAAAGCTGAAATAAATCATTCTCTCTACTATTATTCTGACATTTCACATTCTTAGAATAAAGTGGTGATCCTAACTGACCTAAGACAGTGAATTTTTACTAGGATTAAATGTCAGGAATTGTGAAAAACTGAGTTTAAATGTATTTGGCTAAGGTGTATGTAAACTTCCGACCTCAACTGTACCTGTGACCAACAGATGCATATCTGTATTCCCAGTCATGTGAAGTCCATAGATTAGAGCCTAATTTATTTCAATTGACTGATTTCCTTAATATGAACTGTAACTCAGTAAAGTCTTTGACATTTTCGCATGTTGTGTTTATTTTTGTTCAGTGTAATTTTGGACTGACCAATGTAGATAGTTTCAAATACATTTACATTTATTATACAAGAGACAAAGTTCACAAATTCTACAGCACAACAGCAGTGTCATTTCTTAATTGTAAAACTAATAATGACTCAGTAATCCATGCCTTCTGGGAATGCTATGAAGTCTGGAAGTTATGGGCGGAGTTAGAAAGTTGGCTGTCAGAAATATTACAATGTAAACATACTTTTAATCCGTCTGTCTGCATATTTCAAGACATGGCATATGGGGGTGTAGTGAGATACCCGATGGGTTGGATGATTCTCTTCTCATCTTGAAAAAAACATATACTAAAAACGTGGAAATCAATCAATCCGCCATCATTAACACAATGGAAAAATCTAATGATTTATTATTTAAATATTTAAAGTGCGTGGGCTACGGAGAGAAACAAAATGGTGGACACGTGCTAGTGGGTCTGGGTATGTGTGATGTAGTTGATGTTTGTATGATGGCGTTCATATGTTTTGTATTGTTTATAAAAAATCTAATTAAATCTTGCAAAAAATGTATAATACGAATAGAGCTAACGACCATAGAACGCCTAAAATTGTATTTGACAACCAGTGTTAGTGAATGTAGCGTCAGGTTATGTTGAGCAATTGATGTTTTGGGAAAGAATTGTGCTTCTTACTGCTGGTAATCCATTGTATAAAAGCAAAACACACTGGAGTCCATGTGTTATGAATTGTCTGTCATGGGGTGTGTTGCTTTGCCCCGTGGCCATGACCACGTCACAGCCATGATAAAAATGTCTTAACACAGGCCTCTCATGTATTATTACTTAAATCTACCCTTCTATGTATTTTTTGAAAACCCAAAAACATCTGTGTTAAGTTCATGATATATTGAAAAATGTTTGAGGCAATATTGCCGCGCAATGTTGCTAGAGTCACTCACCACCTCCGGAGACATTTGAAACCCCACCTCTTTAAGGAATACCTGGGATAGGACAAAATAATCCTTCTACCCCCCCCCCCCCCCCCCCCCCCCCCCCCCCAAATTAAAAAAAAAAAAAATACAAAAATATAACGAAACAAAAAAAACAAACAAAAATATTGTAAAGTGGTTATCCCACGGGCTATAAGGTGAATGCACCTATTTGTAAGTCGCTCTGGATAAGAGCATCTGCTAAATGACGTAAATGTAAATGTAAATGTAGTAAGAGAACGGGGTATGAGACACTGGAGCAATGATGAGAAGCATGGACATGAATAATAGATGCCATATGAAGCATAGATCAATTCAAAACGTAATTTCCCCATTTATTTGCTAATCTCCTATATCTTGTTAATGTCTGTTGACTGCCAGAGCCAGACTGAAATTAATCAGCTAACAAACAAGCAATAAAGAGCTAAGGCCCCTTCCCCGTTCATCCACTCAACCTGCTGCCAGTCAATGGCAGTGCAGACATAAAGATATCTACATTTAGCAAACTCTTAACTTCATAAGCTAGAAAGATGTGAATGGTATTAAGCTAGCTAGCCAGCTAGCTAAACATACAAAAAAAATGAAATGTAAATGGCTATAGCTTGCTAACAATCTATGTGGCTAGGTAGCTAGGTAATTTAGCCAGTTTGTCCCATTGACTTTACATGGGCTTCGATTAACATGCTAATCGATTAGCATGCACCCCACCGTTAAACATGACAAAATGAACACAGTATGCATGTATCATGGACATTGCAGTGAGGAAACGTTTCACTTTTAATATGCCATTTAGCAGACACTTTTATCCAAAGCGACTTAGTGGTCCCGGGGATCGAACCCACTACCTTGGCGTTACAAGCGCCGTGCTCTACCAGCTGAGCTACAGAGGACCACACAGAGGATCACTTCAAAACGGGAGTGGATTTTCTTTCACTTCAGCTCAAAATGTCCGCCATGTTTTCCAAAATAGTTTAGAATGATCAATATCTGCGCACTGATTGGAGAATTTAAAAAAAATTGCCTACTATGTGGCACTGCCAATCAAAACTCCCCAGATAACAAAAAGTTGCTCATTTTCAATGGAAAAAAAGTTGCAGCAACCATTGCTAGCAGCATTGCTCTGCAATATTGCCCAAACATTTTTTGTAGTGTACCATCAGCTTAAAGTAGGCTGGCCCTCTTTTGAAGTCTCGTAGATCGATGCATTGCACTTCCGCAGTACCTTACTTAATTGTTAACCTACAGACGTACGAGATGCCAGACCCGATCTCATTCGATGGCTTACTCTGGAGATCCCTTCAATCTCCACTGAGTTAGGTAAATCTGCTTTAGTTTAGGCCAGCCTACTTTCTAAAATGTTGATCATTTGGTGCCTCTTGGGCAATTCAGATGGCTGATTGAGGACCTTTTTACTGAAGAATGTGTTTGTTTTGTATGATTGTGTTTTGTATGATTGTGTTTTGTATGATTGTGTTTTGTATCTCTGTTTCGCTTTTCGCATATTATGTGTATATTTTTTAAGTTAAAAGAGACATCTCAGACATTGGTCTCAGCATGGCTCCCTGTCATAATAAAGGTTAAATAGAACAAGTCTCTGGTTAAATACGTTGCGTTGTGGGACTACTGAGTCTTGTTGTCGGCCACCACTTCAGATATATCCTCGGGCCGGACTGACTTGACTGTTGACTCTATGTTGGTGATCCTCTGTTTAATCTTTCTCTGGCTGGATGTGAACTCAGCCATGATCTTGGCGAACTTGGTCATCATGGTTTCCATATTGCTCTCCAGCCTCTGGATCTTCTCCTCCATGTCCTTGGGGTCGGCTCTCGCGTTAGCGATGTCCTCGTCGATCATGTTGTCTTTCATCAGCATAGCTTTTCCCTTTTCTTCCAGAGCCTTCTTGGCGTCGGGGTACTCAGTGAGGGCCTCCATGAGATCGTCTTTCGACAGGGCGAAGAGGTCCGAGTAACCCACGCTCCTGATGTTGGCCGTTCTCCTGTTGCCAGCTTTGGAACCCTTGATGCCCAGGATACTGATCTCTCCGAAGTACGCGCCGTCGCTGAGCACCACGAACTGTGTCACCCCGTCGTCCGCCACCACAGCCAGCTTCCCTTCCTTAATGATGTACATCTCTCTGCCGATGTCTCCCTTCTTACAGATGTAATCTCCTGGGGAGAACACCTGAGGCTGCAGCTTCAGCACCAACTCAATCAGAAGACCGGCCTCACAGTCCTGGAAGATACGTACCTTCTTCAGGGTGTCCAGATGGACGTTGATGGCGATCTCGGCCTTCAGCTTGTCTGGCAGGTTCTTCAGCACCTCCTTCTCATCGCAGGTCTTCTTCTCTGTCCAGAGGTAGTCAAACCACTTGATGACCCTGGCTTCCAGATCCTTGGAGACCTTACGGAAATGCATGTACTGCTTGATGGAATCGATCTTGGCCTGGAATTCCGCACGGGTTTTGTTCATGTTTGAGATCATGGCGCCAACGTTACCAACGATGGTGGCAAAAATCAGCACACCGATGAGGAAGTCGGTGACCACAAAGAGGTACTCAAAGTCCCTAACGGGTGGCGGGGTTTCTCCGATGGTGGTCAGGGTCAGGGTCGACCAATAGAGACAGTAGATGTACTTCCTGGCAAGGCGGCCATGCTCAGGGTGACTGATGTTGGGGTACACCCAGGTGTCGGAGCCGAACCCGATGGTCTTGGAGATGGCGAAGAAGATGCAGGCGTTCCAGTGGATGATGATCAGGATGTAAAGTACCAGGTTACTGATTCGGAAAACGTTGGGGAAGCTGGTCCTGGTTTCTGTGCGGTCAAAGAACTCGAAGAGGCGGTTCATCTTCGCGAGTCGGTTCAGTCGGAGCTCGGGGTTGTTGAAACCCACTTTCAGAAACAGCAGGTCTGTGGGTATCATTGAAATCATGTCCCATTTGAACTGTGTCGTTGATTTATATTTGTCTCTAAGCTTCTTGTCGTCTTTCACAAGCAGTCCCTGTTCCAGAAAACCTGTTGAAATAATTCAAGAGAAATTAGTGATACCAAATAAGGGACCGTTTTAAATTTACTCGGGGCGGGGGGGGGCTAAAATAGGGGAGGGTTGTCTAACTTTATTACATTTTTTTGGCTTTGGGGGGGTTGTGTGTTTGTTTTATTGGGCACAGGGGAGGGCAGTGTGGTGTTTTATTGGGCACAGGGGAGGGCAGTGTGGTGTTTTATTGGGCACAGGGGAGGGCAGTGTGGTGTTTTATTGGGCACAGGGGAGGGCAGTGTGGTGTTTTATTGGGCACAGGGGGGGGCAGTGCATTTTTTCCCTGGTTTAAATTCCACTTTTGCAGGTTTTACTATATATCTGCTTGCATGCGCACCTGCCCTATATCAAGGTGTTTTGGTACTTCCTTTATGCACTACGCCCTTTAAGCTACGTCTAACTGTTACCTCCATCCACGTCAATTATCTACTAATGTACCTGCCTCACCCCATTCATAGTGTCATATAGTCTACCAGTCTAACTGTCTACCCTGCCCTCTATCCACCATTCATAGTGATAATATAGTCTACCAGTCTAACTGTCCTACCCTGCCCCTCTATCCACCATTCATAGTGATAATATAGTCTACCAGTCCTCCGGTCTATCCAGGGTCCCTCTATCCACCATTCATAGTGATAATATAGTTCTACCAGTTCCTGTCTAACCCTGCCCCTCTAATCCACCATTCATAGTGATAATATAGTCTACCATCTCTGTCTATCCTGCCCTCTATCCACCATTCATAGTGATAATATAGTCTACCAGTCTGTCTACCCTGCCCTCTATCCACCATTCATAGTGATAATATAGTCTACCAGTCTACTGTCTACCCTGCCCTCTATCCACCATTCATAGTGATAATATAGTCTACCAGTCTGTCTATCCTGCCCTCTATCCACCATTCATAGTGATAATATAGTCTACCAGTCTAACTGTCTACCCTGCCCTCTATCCACCATTCATAGTGATAATATAGTCTACCAGTCTGTCTACCCTGCCCTCTATCCACCATTCATAGTGATAATATAGTCTACCAGTCTAACTGTCTACCCTGCCCTCTATCCACCATTCATACCGCACAGCTACTTCCTGTTTCTGTTTGCGCATGCCATCTGTAAACGCAGCGCCGCCTGCAGGTCAAAGGGAGTCGAGGACGCCTGATCTACAGCCAGGTCTATGCTTAGGTAAAGGGAGGTCTGTGGTGGTTTATAAAGAGCAGTTAGTTATTCATTCCATTCTTCTTTGGAGTTTAATGGCAGTTATCGTTATTATCAGCAAAGTGTTGCCCAAGCTATATTATACACTATAATGTGCTTATAAACGGTGTATGCATAGTGCTTGAGTGCTGACGGGAGAGGACGTGTTTTTCTCTGGCTGGAGGTAAGTAGGGGTAAGCTACATGTAGTGTTGAGTAAAGCTTAACCATGTATTAGATCGTAGGTAGGTAGTTAGCTGTAGTTAGGTATTGTATTTATTGTAGGTTAGTATTGTTGTTATTGTAGCTTTCCGTGGGTAATTTGTGGGTTAGTATCGAGGCATGAGGCTAGCTAGCTAGCGGGTAGCTATTGGTAACGATTAGCAACGCTGGAGAGCTGGTTCCAACGGTAATGTACTCCTACCCAACGTTTAACTTTTGCTTAACCATGTATTAGATCGTAGGTAGGTAGCTAGCTGTAGTTAGGTATTGAATTTATTGTAGGTTAGTATTGTGGTTGTAGTAGCTTTCCATAGGTAATTGTGGATTAGTATCGAGGCACGAGGCTAGCTAGCTAGCGGGTAGCTATTGGTAATGATTAGCAACGCTGGAGAGCTGGCTCCAACGGTAATGTAGTCCTACCCAACGTTTAACTTTTGCTTAACCATGTACTAGATCGTAGGTAGGTAGTTAGCTGTAGTTAGGTATTGTATTTATTGTAGGTTAGTATTGTTGTTATTGTAGCTTTCCGTGGGTAATTGTGGGTTAGAATTGAGGCACGAAGCTAGCTAGCTAGCGGGTAGCTATTGGTAACGATTAGCAACGCTGGAGAGCTGGTTCCAACGTTTAATTATTATTATTATTATTTATTTTTTTGCTGCGTTGTGAAGGGAACTCGACACGGACTTGAATTGTCTGTTTGGTGTGCTGACACACTCTTGGCAGTTTGTTGTGGCCAGGTGTTGATGCTAAGTTGTGTGTTAATGGATGCTAGCTTGCAGGTTGGCTACGGCGTCATAGCTAGGCTTCGTGGGTTGTTGTGGGTAGTTACTGTGTCTTGGCAGTGTCCTCGGCCGTGCCAGCTGTAGCACGAAGCTAGCTAGCTAGCCGTTCTTCAAACAGAGTCGACACAGTGGCCATTGCTAGCTACCCAACATGACCATTTGGCTGTACTGAAGTAGCTAACCACAATTTACTTGTCCTAGCTAGCCAACGTCTAATCATTGCTGCGTCATGTAAGGAACTTGACACAGACACGAATGATCTGTTTAGTGTGTTATCACAATATTGGTGGTTTGTTGTGACCAAGTGTTGGCGCTAAACGGTGTGTTATTGTTATTGGATGCTAGTCTGCTAGTTGGCTATGGAGTCATAGTTGGCTAGCTGAACAAAGTGGGTTGAGTCTACTCCTTTAAACATCGAACCGCTGTGGTTCACAACAATTCTGATTTCCAAAGGCGGAAGTTGGGAGAGTTTTTTCTTCGGGTGGTTCAGTGAAACAATTTTAGTTTCCGAGGTAGAAGTTTTGGTGAGGGAGGCCCTGCTCTCTCCACTCCCAGATGCTTAGCCCATTTCATTCCGATCTCCTCTGCATTTTTGTAGCCATTTGCTACAGCCTGTCAACTATGCCTCTGCCTATCCCTGTTCTCTCCTCTCTGCACAGGCTACACAAACGCACCACACCGCGTGGCTGCTGCCTCTCCAATCTGGTGGTCCCTGCACGCACCACCCACGTGGAGTTCCAGGTCGCAGGCAGCCTCTGGAACTGCCGTTCTGCTGCCAACAAAGCTGACTTCATCCCAGCCTATGCCAACCTCCAGTCCCTCGACTTCCTGGCGCTGACGGAAACATGGATCACCACTGAAAACACCGCTACTCCTACTGCTCTCTCCTCGTCTGACCATGTGTTCTCGCATACCCCGAGAGCATCTGGTCAGAGGGGTGGTGGTACAGGAATCCTCATCTCTCCCAAGTGGACATTCTCAATTTTTCCCCTAACCCATCTGTCTATCTCCTCATTTGAATTCCATGCTGTCACAGTCACTAGCCCATTTAAGCTTAATATCCTTGTCATCTATCGCCCTCCAGGTTCCCTTGGAGAGTTCATCAATGAGCTTGACGCCTTGATAAGTTCCTTCCCTGAGGATGGCTCACCCCTCACAGTTTTGGGGGATTTCAACCTCCCTATGTCCACATTTGACTCATTTCTCTCTGCCTCCTTCTTTCCACTCCTCTCCTCTTTTGACCTCACCCTCTCACCGTCCCCCCCTACTCACAAGGCAGGCAATACGCTTGACCTCATCTTCACTAGATGCTGCTCCTCTACTAATCTCACTGCAACTCCCCTCCAAGTCTCCGACCACTACTTTGTTTCCTTTTCTCTCTCACTCTCCTCCCACACTACTCACTCTGCCCCTACACAGATGGTAATGCGCCGCCGCAACCTTCGCTCTCTCTCTCCCACTACTCTCTCCTCTTCCATCCTATCATCTCTTCCCTCTGCTCAATCCTTCTCCCTCCAATCTCCTGATTCTGCCTCCTCAACCCTCCTCTCCTCCCTTTCTGCATCCTTTGACTCTCTGTGTCCCCTATCCTCCCGGCCGGCTCGGTCCTCCCCTCCAGCTCCGTGGCTTGATGACTCATTGCGAGCTCACAGAACAGAGCTCCGGGCAGCGGAGCGGAAATGGAAGAAAACTAAATTCCCTGCCGACCTGGCATCTTTTCACTCCCTCCTCTCTACATTTTCTTCATCTGTTTCTGCTGCTAAGGCCACCTTCTACCACTCTAAATTCCAAGCATCTGCCTCTAACCCTAGGAAGCTCTTTGCCACATTTTCCTCCCTCCTGAATCCTCCCCCCCCCCCCCCCCCCCCCCCCCCCTCCTCTCTCTCTGTGGATGACTTCGTCAACCACTTTGAAAAGAAGGTTGACGACATCCGATCCTTGTTTGTTAAGTCTAATGACACTGCTGGTCCTGCTCACACTGCCCTACCCTATGCTTTGACTTCTTTCTTCCCTCTCTCTCCAGATAAGATCCTGCGACTTGTGACTGCAGGCCGCCCAACAACCTGCCCGCTTGACCCCATCCCCTCCTCCCTTCTCCAGACCATCTCCGGTGACCTTCTCCCCTACCTCACCTCGCTGATCAACTCATCCTTGACCGCTGGCCATGTCCCTTCCGTCTTCAAGAGAGCGAGAGTTACTCCCCTTCTCAAAAAACCAACACTCGACCCCACTGATGTCAACAACTACAGACCAGTATCCCTTCTTTCTTTTCTTTCCAAAACTATTGAGCGTGCCGTCTTTAGCCAACTCTCTTGCTATCTCTCTCAGAATGACCTTCTTGATCCAAACCAATCAGGTTTCAGGACTGGTCATTCAACTGAGACTGCTCTTCTCTGTGTCACAGAGACTCTCCGCACTGCTAAAGCTAACTCTCTCTCCTCTGCTCTTGTCCTTCTAGACCTGTCTGCTGCCTTTGATACTGTGAACCATCAGATCCTCCTCTCCACCCTCTCCGAAATGGGCATCTCCGGCGCGGCTCACTCCTGGATTGCGTCCTACCTGACCGGTCGCTCCTACCAAGTGGCGTGGCGGGAAGCTGTCTCCGCACCACGTGCTCTCACCACTGGTGTCCCCCAGGGATCGGTTTTGGGCCCTCTCCTTTTCTCCCTATACACCAAGTCACTTGGCTCTGTCAT